TCCCTTATCAAGTGCTCTGAGTTCTGAACAAACGGATCAGATTATCTCTTTTAAACTTTAGGGAAAGAGGAAACATTTGGACTGACAACAACTTGGAGCTGAAAATCAAACCAGTCGGTGCTTCTCTGTTGGTTGAAAGCCTTTGCTGCATGATTCACTTTGCTGTTTTCTGTCTTTTCCTTCATGTTTTTTTCAGTTATCCAGGGGGATAACTGCTACTGTGTTGGGCTACACCTTAATTCATAGTAAATCGTATCTTATAACATAAAGAAAATTACATAAAAATAAATGCTCAGAAATCTAAATGATTTAGAAAAACCAATCATGCCATGTGTTGAACTGTCAACCTTTACAATGAACTATAAAATAAGTGTATTTTTGTTTAGCTAATTACTTCTATGTTGTTTTACTTAAAATAGTTAATCAGACTCATCAAACATGATTTCCACCTGGAGTTTTGCATTAAATGTTTATCGTTGGTTTTATCACAACTGAATATGTGTTTTATCTTTTTTTGTTTTATTATAAAGTCAATATCCAATTGTTCACTGACATTTTTTTCTGTATGAAAATTAACAAAACATTGTTGCAATAAAAGTTACAAAAGATTCCTCTTGATGTGGAAAATCTTTCAAATGAAAAAGGTGTCTTTTTTTAAACCTGACTAAAAGAAAAAAACAAGACGTACAATCACACAACCAGTCAAATAAGGTTAAAAAAGTGAAGCAAAAAGGAAAAGTTTAGAATGGGTGACATCTAGGGGTGTTATGCATTTCCACTCATGAGGAAAGTGATAAATTGTGCTCAAGAGAAAGACAAGACTGAGTTATTCATCTGTCAGAGGAGTTGATGTGAACACACACGTCACTGCAAACAAGAAAGAAATCAAAACTGAGCTCCCTTAAAGTCCCACTGACTCAGTGTGTTGTTCATTCAGAACACAGTCGTTATGTGACAATAGCCTCCGTCATGTATGGAAAAAAGAGCCCGACACACAAAGAATGGGTGGAGAAAAACTAAAATAAAACTAATAAGTCATATAGAAACAGATTCTTAATGTCAGTTTTTAAAAATGGCTGCCTGGCAGCTGCGTGTGTGGTGAAAACAAAGAAACGTTACGAAGTCTTATCATACCTTTACTTTCTATTCCATGCCCACGAAGGCAAGTCAATACACGCACTGTCTGGCACTTTGATGTTGTGGGCCGTGCTTTCCGACTGGAGTTTGAAAGATACATCAGCTAAAAGAGAAAGCAAGTCTCAGAGACACCTATTTTATCACTCCTCCGGCTTGTTTCTGGTGTTTCCGCTCCAGGGAAAGATGTCCTCTCTGTCAGAGAAAGATCTCTCCTGCACCCTCTGCCACGAGGTGTTCAGGGACCCCGTGGATCTGGAGTGCGGCCACAGCTTCTGCAAAGACTGTCTGAAGGAGTGGTGGTCCGCCAAACCGATCCACAAATGCCCCCTCTGTAAGGAGATATCTCTGTTAAAGGAGCCCGGCTGCAACCTGGAGCTGAAGAAACAGTGCCAGACCTTCCTGGAGGGGCGGGGCCGGAAAGCCCCCGCGGGGTCCGAGCCTCTCTGCGCCGATCACGCCGAGAAATTCAAACTCTTCTGTCTGGACCACCGGCAGCCTTTGTGCGTCGTCTGCCGGGATTCGAAAGCGCACAGCGGCCACAGATTCAGACCCGTCAACGAAGCCGCGCAGGACCACCGGGAGGAGCTCCTCCAAAGCCTCAAACCCTTACAGGACAAACTGAACCTGCTAGTCCGGGTGAAGAGAGACTTTGATGAACAGGCGGAGCACGTGGAGCTCCGGGCCCAGCGCGTGAGCAGCGAGATCAAGGAGATGTTTGACAGCCTCCGTCAGTTTCTGAGAGACGAGGAGGAGGCCCGGCAGAGTGTCCTGGAAAAGGAGCGAAAGCAGAAAAGTTGCACCATAAGAGAAAAGTCCAAGAGTCTGAGCAGGGACATCGCTGCCCTCTCTGAGATAATCGAAGCCACGGAGGAGGAGCTGAGAGCCGCGGACGTCTCCTTCCTGCAGGGCTAC